CAAATAACCATTCCTAATATTCATTCTTTCCGGAAAAATTCTAAATATTACATTCCCGGGAAATTAACTCTGTGAAGAACTATAAATAAATTTAAAAAAATGTCGAATGAATGCTGATGAGAAATTTTTCTAGAGGTTGGAAAGAGCTTCCAGAGCCGTCAGAAAACACTTCTGGAGAAAGTTAGAAGAAACTTCCAGAGAAAGCTGACAGACTCTCGGTATCCAAGTCGGAAGAAACTTTCAGAAAAGTTATGGGAACCTTCCAGAAGAAGTTGGCAGACATTTCCGGGGCATGTCAGCAATATCTTTGGGTGAACTTGGAAAGAGTTTTCAAGATAAATCGTTGGAATTGGTCAATGTCAGTCAGAAGAAACTGCTAGATCAGGTCTAGAAAAACCACAATTAACTTCCAGGAGAAGTTGCGCGACTCTTTCGGTGGAAGTCGTAAACAGCAGCCCAATTAAACTGGAACAAGCTTAACATTGTACAGAAGTTCATAATTGATTTGCCTTCGGCATAAATCATCCCAAGGAATGATTTTTAAAAAGAATTAAATTTCTATAAATTTGAATTCCAAATTCTCCACGAGTTAAAAGAAAACACTGTTTTTTTGCACTTCAATACAACTTTAACATAAGAACATGTCATCAATGAAGAGCTTTGAGTGTGTTGGTTTATTTACTTTAAATTCTGTTATAATTGCTTATCTCTTGACAGATACGCGTATTTCGTCTACTACGTGCAGACTTCATCAGTGCCAAGTACTCAACACCACTACACACCACAGTGATTGAACGAAGAGTGGTTCATGAAAACAAAAAAATAGCTAAAATCGACTCCCATTGAGTGCAAATTGAAAAGTGGAAAAGTTGACCCACCTTTGGAAATAAAAAGATTTGTTTTATTTTCCTCAGGACTCTGAAGGTGGGAGTTTAAATCGCTGCGCCATTGGACTAAGTGTCCGAATTTCGAGGCATTACGATACTCAGTCTGTGTCAGAGCGCTGATTTGCTGGAATCCAAAAAGTTGAAAACAATCAAACTAAAAAATTGCTAGCCTTTCTTCAAGTCTAGGAACAAGATTTTTGGCTTTCGCCGGAATCTCAATGGTACAAAACCAAATTACCAATATATAAGCGATTTTGAGTTCTGTTTGATGGTGGTGTTACTTTGTGTTATTGAAAATTTAGCGAAAATTTAGCCCAACCAATATAACAGAATTGAGTATTTTTGGAATTGGTCTACTGATTCCGGAAATATGGCTTCATGATTAGCTACAATTTTTCTGAATAACTCAAATCTGAATATCTTGTGCATGATGAACCAGAGCGAACAGAACCCACCATTGTTTTTCAGTGAATGTAAATTACATTCACTGTAAACCAATAACAAGTTCGTCCCACTCTAGTTCGTCATACAGAAGAGATAAAGATTTGATTTTTTACAAAAGTTGAAGCTTATTATGAAACCATCAAAAGTTTCATAGGTTATTTTACGGAACTCTGTTGATGAAAAATGTTAGAGGCAAATAAATGTAAATTGATACACGAAATGAATGTAAATGATTGTCCATGCCTGGTTGCACCTAAATGAAGACAATTTCTTCAAAAATCACTGTAAATTTCACAGAAAACCATTGGTGTTTCAAAATTGAAAACATTCTACCTAAATTTTTCAAATAATTCAAGGTCATTGACACCTGTTTTAATGCAACATATAACCAATGTTAAGTCAATGACAACAACCGTTTTTTAGAATGTTGATATTATAAGCTATTGAACGCCAGTTAATTAAAATCGAAATTCAGTAAAATCTACTTTTTTGTGATGAGAAACTAGTCAAAACAATCATTGGAGTCTTATGACGAGATGCTATCAGGATTGCTATTGATATATATCACCGTGAATGTTCTAAGTGACAACTAAAATCGCAATCCATAATGATCAATTTCAGCCCGATGATCAATTTACCCCCGGATTACGGTACTTTGCTTACTTACTCATTTATATATCCTGCCCACCCCTAGTGGTGCATAGGGCAAACGTGTAAGACTTAGATGGCTGCTAGCTTTTGACTTGACCTGGTCCCAAGTGTCATAAGTACGGTAGCTCAAATATGTAGCTTAGCTCGACCTCGAAGTTTCTTCATGATACCTAACAGATTTCCAGGAGTGTAACATTTGATAAGCACTTAGGAAAATCGAGAATATCTGTTCAGACTCTAGAGGCATGTGCATCTTAGCACGCTGAAGCAGCTAAGTCAAACAACATCCGGGGTCAAGAACCCGAAAATTTCGATGATCCAGAGATTTATATTATTTTCGGATATCAGAATTTCCATTTCTTTTTCCAAACCCTGGATCCTGTTTGTTTTCCAATTCCAGGATGAAATAATTCAAACAGAAATCCCGATTTCTCACAAACTAACAAAATATAAAAGTCCCAGAAACTGTTGTATTATTTGAATTCGGGATCTTAATTATTTTCAAGTCCGTCTTAACATATTTTCCCAAATCCCCAAAACTCAACAAAAATTGATTTTCGGGTTATCGGCTTTTTAGTCTAATTATGGATCAAAACGCAAAGGATCTTTTAGTGCCGGCGTGTCGGCCTATGCAGTTGTACTTTTTCAGAGGGTATAAAATTTTATCGTGTACCAAAAGACGGTGCAGCTTTACATTCCCTGATGAAGGCCAAGCCCATATGCCGAAACTTCGAGCATAACAACACATCCTTTTGCGTTTCGATCCATGGTTAGGCTTACACGTTTTCATCAACGATTAGACTGAAAAGCCAGTATCGCTCAAATCAGATTTAGTCCCATTCGATTTCCTTCTTATTCTTCTTCGCATTTCAAGCTGATTGCTGATCGCATATAAGCTATTTGCGTGCTCTCAACTTATTGTTCTAGATGCATTTCCACAGTTCTATTAATTGAGGGCTTTCGATGCCTGTACCATTTGTGCATTAGTATAATTGTGTGGCATGTTCAATCATAATCCGTGCCAAACCCGAAAAATTCCTAGACCGGACCGGGAATCGAACCCAGTCACGTCCAGCATGGTCTTGCTTTGTAGCTGCACCTCTACCGATTGAGCTAAGGGAGGCCCCAAAATATAATCATATAGCTAGAATTGGTTGTATAACAATTTTGTTCCAAAGCCTTCGGTTGTTGGACTTCAATAAATATTTGAAGACTCAGACTTTTCCTACTGATGCACTTCTCCCTTTTACAACGCTCGTGCAGCCGAGCTTGTTGAGATTGGTTGGAAGTTAATGTTCCGAGCAACTTATTTTTATTTAAATATTTGTTCAAGTGAAAACTTCGGAAATTTCCAATTTGAAAAATCTTCATACACTACCCGTCATAAGTATGGAATCGCTTGAAAAAGTATTGCAACACTCCATCACCCCATGTGTTCACATTCGCTTTATGTAATGCTAAACTTTTCAAGGTTCAAGGTTGCAATACTTTTTTAAGCGATTCCATACTTATGAAGGGTAGTATATGTCCTAAAGTTTCACTCGTTTCCACAATATTGTTGTAGAATTCATCACTTCCAAAGACGGTCGAAGAAAATTTTAACGTGGCATGTGCCGCTTATTCAATGCAAGAAGTACTATCATTTGATTTGTCGTGCAATGATCAACTGTTTTGGCTGTGACTTAGATAGCAGAACTTTAACGGACAAACTTCCAATATGAGCACAACATTTAATATAGCTCTCTGAATCGCAGAGGTGGTAACGTTTCTGAAGTAATATGAGACTTATCAAGTTTTGAAAGTGGTAAGAAGATCAGTTTTAGGAGAAATGCGCTCGTTCAGAAACTGATTTCTCTGTACTTCATGTCTCGTGAGAGTAAGAAATTTGATATCTTTCTAATTGTAAGAGTTATTTGATTGTTTACAGCGCTTACTAATAATTAAACAATGCTGATTTAAGGTTTTAAGTACTTTCAGTGCTGATCACAGCCTTTTCATAACACTACTCACAAAACAAAAGGCATGAACAAAACAAATTGCTGTTTTTATAACGACATGATTTTTTAGTCTCAGTGCATTTAAAACAAAACCCAAACTTAGTTCAAAAATTTACCCAACAAAAGCATCTCAAAATTATGTGAAATCCTTCAGTGCAGTGCAGTGAACTATTGTAAATTCTGTGGATCATTTATATAGATTTGTGATAGAATTTAACGATTTCCGATTGGCTATAGCAATGCCAAATTAATGCTGAATTTAGGCTTGGGACTAATGCTTACATTTTTTTGATTTGAATGGTTGAAACCATCCAGGTTGAGCTCCATTGCTTACCTGCCTGCGACGCTCTGTACGTTCGATTTTCTGCAGAGTAAAAACAAAATCACCTCAAATGCAACACATCCAACGATTCCTTTTGCCAAGTTGATTAACTTTCGATTTCACTTAACATAAACTTTCACCCCGATGGTTTAAGAATGCATTCCCATTTTTTACCTATTTACTGTTTGATAAATCACATACTAATATATTGATTAAGAGTTCACTCTCATTCTGCGACACACCTCTATCACCAACCAAGCTCTCTTATCCCCAAAAAAAAAACTCACCACCCGTCATGCTCTCATCGAAAATGACGACCACTCATGCCTTAGATGCAAACCTAGCTTCAATCCTCTCCATACTTCACCTTTCTCACTCTCAACTCTCGAACAACCAAAGATGTATATCTGAAATGTCACTCACTTCTCTCATAACCGTCATGCCACCTATCTAACCCTCCCCCAAACCTCTGTTTTTCGTTGTCATCCCTCGAATCGATCAAATCACCCAACTCTCACTCTTTCTCTCTCTCTCTCTGTGTCTCTCAATCTTCTTTTATCTTTTCAACATACGATCCTCCCCCAAAGTACCGTACTTTCTTATTTCTCTCATCTCAATTTTTTTCTCCAAATGATATCAAATATAAGAAAAACTAACTGAAACATTGTCTGTAATACAACCCCTTTTCTGTTCTTATAGGAAATTATTCACGTTTAGCATGTGAGATACAGTTTGTACGTTCGATGGGTTATTATCTCATTCAGATTTACATACCATCCGGATTAATTGTAATCATATCGTGGGTATCATTTTGGCTAAATAGAAATGCTACACCAGCACGTGTTGCACTAGGTGTAACCACTGTCTTGACAATGACAACACTGATGTCGTCAACGAATGCTGCCTTACCGAAAATATCTTATGTAAAATCGATTGACGTATATTTAGGCACATGCTTCGTCATGGTATTTGCCAGTCTGCTGGGTATATAACAATTTTTACTTACTTATATATACATATTTTTATATCTATATATATTCACTATTTGCTACTTGTACAAAAAAAAAACCAGTCTCTTTCGTGTTTGTGTTACTCCATGTACTTAGAAGTTTGTTGAGGCACCCAAAAGAAGAACAGCCGGGAATTTTCATCCTACTCCATGCCACCCCCGTCCCTCGAAGTCCACCGGTCCGCATAGGGTCCTAACGCTTGAGCTGTAGAAAGAGCGAAAGAGAGAGAAAGCTGTTCCAAAAATTAGTCTTGCATGATTTAATTTTTGATCAGCTTTCCGCCTTGACAAGGTTCCATCCAAACCGACATATGCATATTATGCTTGCTAACAAGTGTTAAAACCCTAGCCCGGGGTCCGAGGGATCCACCAAATACCAACAACCGAGCAGAGTAGCGTGAAAATTCCCACCACAAAAAAAAAAGTCTGAACGATACGAAAAAACAACCGGAAGACCCAAGCTTTTTCAAAGTCAGACGAAAGCGCATAAGCAATAAGATGAAAAGAAACTAAACTCACCAATCACCCTCATAGAAGAAGGAGTCGAGATCTTGCAATTAGAATTGTCCAGTTCAGAAAATCGAGCTTTCACACTTTCGATATCTCATTCACTTTCACACCAATTCAGGCAAAAGTTTGATACCGTACTTCACGCACAATCAGAAATATGACCTGATAGCAAACGAGTCGCACTGAAATTGTAGAGGAAGAAAACTATGTGAATCGAAAAAAAGAAACAAATCCACCAGCTCGATGGGTCTCACTTTCGACTGAGATTACCTTAAACTCCCCTCACACATACACACATCGACACCGACACCGACACCTATTTGTTAATATTAGGTCAGAATGTGCGTAAAACACACGTTCCCAAAATGACATGCCTTAGCATAACGTATATTGTAATTGTCACCCTTCACACCTTCTCTTTCTCTGTCACTTTCGAGATAATAAATCAGAAAAGCAAAAACAACAACAAAACACTCACACAGCAAGAGAAGTTGGCTCGAACCACAGACAGAAACCAAAGAAAAATTCGATAAATTCATCTAAACTTTGATTTTCCTTGTACGACTAAACGCTAAAGTTGAATGAAACTTATTAAAAAATTGCCAACATTTCGCTTGACTCCAGTAATAACAAAAAAAAAATCGTTTGTTTCGCTTTCCGTACTCTCTCTCTCTCTCACACTAAATTTCCCACTGATTTTCTTTCCTTGCTACAGTTAGCCTATTTGGAGTCTTTCCGAATTGAACAGATGCCACAAAGAACAACAGTAAAAAAAAGTACATTGACCCAATCCTATCCCGAAAACAGGGACGGATCAAACTGCACAACAATTCGGTTTTCGTTCGGACACGCAGGGAAATGCCACCGGGATCATGTTGCTTGCTATTATTTAATTTTTAATTTTTTTTAATAAGTCCAAGTGTGATTAAACGTTACCAGGTGGCCAGTTCTGCCATATTTTATAAAAAAAGTACTGATGTGGATTCAAGTATATACAAGCTATTTCAAAGTCACCCAAATTTGGGTAGAATCCACCCAGATCGGTATAAACTAAACCTATCAAAAATGGGTAAAACCAGAGACGAGGTTATATAAGAGACGCGCGGAGAGAATAAAAATAAATCTGGTTGCACGGCCAACTAATTTGCTGTTCGGCAAGATTTGGCAACCCGCAGTTTTATGTTTACTTAGAATGACTTTTAATTTGAGCGACTGTCGTCTGCTTCAGCATTACGGTAAAATGAATACTTTTTTAACCGTATCGGTAGTATCGCTGTTCAATGGAAGTATTTGAAGACTCAATTTTTGACAACTCTGAGTGAAACCAAATATATCACATTGGAGGATGCTCAATGTACAGAAATTATTCAATCTGCAATTGTTGCTTCCTATCATGTACAAGTGAAAACTCTTTTTAAGTCTTTCACAAATTTTACTTTCTTGAAAAATAACACCGGTCATACGCAAACTTAATAATAATTATTTAATTCTCAACAGTTAACGAGTGTCTGGCTGAAAATTTCCCTAATAAAAACATCCAACCTCAACAATTAAATTAAACCCCAATCTCAATACATCTCACGCTTTTCTTCGTGAAGCGCTCGTGTTCATTTATATTGCTCGATTGGAACCGCGTTTGACAGTTCGATTGGAACTTTTGGCTTCAGTCTGCGCGCGTAACCAGTTGGCAAATGGACAACATCGTCTTGAATCCGATCGATCTTCTTCATCGGTTAACTTATCACTCCCAACTTAGTTTACCCATTTTTGCGTAGGTTCAGTTTTTACAGATCTGGTTGGATTCTACCCAAATTTGGGTAGTTTTGAAACATCGTTCATGTAGTGCAAAGTCATTTACCCTTACAACTACTGCTAGAAGAATGTTGTAATCCCGTCCACCGGTTACAGTGATATTTTGTCTGAATATTGCTGACTAGTTAGCCATGACATTGACGGAAGAAGCTCAGCATTCAAGATCCAGTTGTTAGGCTTGGTTGATGAGTTTCGCAGAATGTCAATAAGTAAGCGTATTTTTTGTGCTGAGCTTTTAGTAAAACTTGCCGTGCGTTCGGTGGGGTGAATATCGGCAAAAAGGCTGAGATTTGACACTCAAACCTAAGTGGCAAGAGTTGTCTTAACGTTATTTGGACTAGTCTTCAAACCAACTATCATGTATATTGCGATAATTTGGAAGCAAACACTACAATTCTGCCAGCTGTTACAGCTTGAAATCTGTAAATTTATTTGGGTTTTAGTTTTATGAGTATAAAGGTATCAAATGTAATTACATTTCAGTATTAGAATAACGAATTCAGATTCCAATTATCCAATTTTCTACTGAAGGTTTAGGTAAAGGTGAATCTACACACTTAGAAAAATAATCTAAATTTAGGTGCTCAGAGACTGACATATATGAGCGTCAATTTTGACATAAAATTAAGTCATAATAGACGCGAAATTCAGCTCAATCAAACGTAATTTCGAACTTTTCAGTATCGGAGCACTTAATTTTACATGACATGACGTCTCATCCTTTGTGTCAAAGATAAATTCCGTCACGTGTAAGATTTCTAAGTGTGGTTAGGATGTGAATTAGATTAAATTCTGAATTAAATAATGTAAATGACTTACGATTTAATAATTTGCAGATGATACTAATCCAGAGCACTATTCTAGTACTAATTCAAAGCAAAGTAGGTTTATTTTAATATTAAATAATTCCACAAGCAATTGAATTTCACTGTGTGTTTAAAGTTAACGTGGTTATTAGAAAACCACTTATGATTACTATTTTTTAATTTCAACGGTTGACACTCCTGGTACGATCTGTCATTCGGTTAAGTCGAGGGAGCGCCCGGTCGCACAATCACCCGGTGATGACCCAGGGGTTGTCGCAACATTCCCCGACCCGTGTGGTCCGGGACTACCGAAGACGTCCAGGATAGCAATCTTCACTGATGGTAGCAAGATGATCCCTTTCGCTGTTTGAATCTTAGCCTTCCTAACCCGTCCATCTTGAGCAATGCAAACCGCCGTGATTCCTCGTCGTATCATCAACCACGATCACAATGTCGCCTACTTGGAGTGGCTTCACCGGCTTTGAACCGCCTGGCCAACACCGGTTGGTACTCATGAGTCCAGTGGCGCCAGAATTCGTCAATCATCCATTGAGCTAGCTTCCAACTATCTCTCAGCGCCCTACGATAGTCTACTGGCTGCACTGCTGGTGGTTGATTTACACCCTGTTTCCCATACAACAGGAAGTGATTCGGCGTAAGTGCTTCTGGATCCGCCGAATCGAGACCGATGTAGGTTAGAGGACGTGAGTTGATGACTGCTTCGGTTTCTAGAACAATGGTTTCGAAATTTTCCTCGTTCGATTGTCTCAGTGAGGTCCCCAATGGCAAGCATGGCTGTTTTTACGAGTCGTACCATCCGTTCCCATTGAAAATCCATTTTGTGTGCGCGTTGGTGAATGTTGTAGCGCACTTTTCACTATCGTCCAAGCAGTCAAGAGATGCCCAAGAAGTCTAATGGATTTTATCAAGCCTTGTTTACTCTGTCTATAAATCCTTTGCACTTGTTTTTCAAGTCTTCTCGTATTCCATGTCTCTCTTAACCCTAGAGAAAATTTAGAAATTTTCTCCTTGTCTTCCAAGTTATTGCTATCGGTTTCTTGCATCATCTAGCGGATTTGGAGCTGCTATATCAAGCCAATTCTTCCTGGGTGATAGCACTCCAGGAAGTCAACAACGTAACAGTTGAGCAGATGAACCGTTCGTTGGGCGGTAGATACTGCTGAACAGTTAAACGTGGGAACAATTTCCGACACTCCGTCGCCATCGGGGTTCTGAAGGAGGTCCCGTTTCGGTTTATCGACCTTGACTCAGAGCTTCCCATTTTGGGAGTTTGCTTGGAGGAACCAGCCAACATCGCAATAGCATGCGCATACCTGCCTTGTGGGAGATTATCAAACCTCAACGGTCAAATCGACAGCATCTTCGATAACCTACCTGAACCGCGTATATTTTTGGGTGACTTGAACGCGCACCACTCTAGCTGGGGGTGCCCCCGGTTCAACTCGAGGGGTTCCACACTCACTGGTAGACAAGTTCGAAAGGGAGGATATGATCATCCTTAATGACGGATCGCCAACCTTTTTCAATGGACGGCACACCACGGCGATCGATGTAACTGCTGTTAGTCGTTCCCTCGCTGGAAGAATGCAGTGGAGCGTCAATGCGGACCTCTACGGTAGCGATCATTACCCGGTTCAAGTGCAACTCTTTGCCGCCACTATACCGGCAGAAACGCGGAGACCTCGGTGGCACTATGACGAAGCCGATTGGGAGAGCCACGGTGCAACTTTCCAGTCCCTCCTTCAACAACGTAGCCCTGACAGCATCGAGAGTCTCACTGAAGCAATAAACGCAGCTGCGTCAGCAACCATCCCGAAAACCAGCAGCATTTCGGGGCGTAAAGCCCTTCGACGAGTCAAATGGCTTCACATAGATGATCCGGATAGGGATCACGCGCTCTGTATCTATCGAGAACGGCACAACCAGTGTCGCCAATTGTTCCGAGATGCCAAACGATCCAGTTGGACGGACTTCCTCGAAAGCATAAATGCCTCACAGTCTTCGGCGCCCTCAGTGGCAAGCACCGTACGGCCACACTGCATATACAGGTAGACGGCGCTGCAGTCTCCGACCCCGGAATCGTTGCAGATAAGCTTGGCGACTATTTCGCTGACCTCTCTGCGATTTCCAAGTACGAGGCTAGCAAACCCATCGACTTTGTCCGTAAGCAGTTTTCGAGTTTCTCCGGACACTAACAACCTGAGGATCAACCACGAATTCACCTGGCAGGAGCTTCAGTTCGCGCTTAGTAGAAGCAACGGGAAATCAGCCGGCCATCAGACGAGATCGGCTACCCGCTGCTCGAGAACCTGCCAATCCCGGGTAAAGTAAAAATGCTGGAACTCTTCAACCAGCTTTGGCAGACAAACTCGTATCCAGAGCATTGGAGGGAGAGCTTGGTTGTCCCCATCGCCAAAGCAACCGAGCCGACACGGGATGCGGCGAAGTTCCGACCCATTGCGCTCACCTGCTGCATGGCAAAGATCGGATGGTCAACTGACGACTGAAGCAGTCTAGACCATCGCCAACACGCATTCCGGTAAGGCCACGGTACATCCACGTACTTTGCGACGCTAGGAGAGCTCCTCAAGGATGCCAAGGATAATGGTCTCCATACGGAGTTGGTTTCCCATTGCGAAAGCCTTCAACCGTACATGGACGCCCGCGGTACTGAAGCTGGGGCCTTAGCGGCCATATCATCCATTTCTTCCAAAATTTTCTGACTGCCGGATCCTTCCGAGTCTCGGTAGGTAATACCAAATTCCGCGCTTTCTGCGAGGAAACCGGCGTTCCCCAAGGTTCAGTGATCGCTGTCACTTTGTTCCTGGTAGCCATGAACAGTGTCTTCGAGCGGTTACCAGCGAACATCTACATTTTCGTGTACGCAGACGACGTGCTAATCGTAGCCACATGTCAAACTCCGGGACGAACCAGGATTAGAGCCCAAGCGGGGGTTTCCGCCGTAGTCAGATGGGCCGCTTCGAAAGGTTTTCAGCTGTCTGCTGGAAAGAGCGCTAGGTGCCACGTTTGCCAGTACCGACATCAGGTCTGCGGACCTTCCATAAAGATCGGTAATCAAGCTGGCCAAGGCCAGCTGTCGCAGCAGGATCAACCTCATCCGCACAATTTTCCGTCCCCACCGGTCCAACAACAGAGAAGTACGTTTCCGTGTTGCCTGGGCCATCGTAGACAGCCGACTGATGTATGGACTGGAGCTGACCTGCATCGCTACCGAAAAGGCAATACAAATACTCGCTCCGGTGTACAATAGCTACACGCGCATCATCTCCGGTCTCCTACCCTCGACGTCAGCCGATGTCAGCTGTGTCGAAGCCAGCACTCTCTCTTTCCGGTACCGCATCTACGCAGCCATTGACAACAAAGCTGCTGCATTTTCAGCAAATACCGCCGGAAACGACAGAATCTGCCTCCTCAGCGAGGGGGACAGAGTTCTCCTTACAATCGCCAACGCAGAGCTCCCTCCCAGTGGCCAAGATTCACTGGTACGGAGTTGGCAATCTCCCGCACCAAACATCGACAGCCGGATAAAGGAGAAGTTCAGAGCCGGGGACAATTCCATAACCCTTAGGAGATGGGTAGCAGAGCTGACCGGATTGTATCCAAACTACATGCATCGTTACACGGACGGGTCAAGATCTAGAGCTGGAGTCGGAATGGGAATCGCTGGTGCCTTTTTCCCAACGAGTAGAAGTCTGCCAAAACAATGTTCGGTGTTCTCGGCAGAAGCAGCGGCTATTCTTCATGCCGTCGGACTCCCACAGTGTTATTCAGACCATTTCGTCGGAGGTCCCGGTCCACCCCTGGATCCAGGGCATCTTGAAGGTTGCGTCACCAAACACTACATACGCATGGATTCCCGGACACTGCGGGATCCCAGGGAGCATCGAAGCGGATAACTTAGCCGGGTCAGGCCCATCGAGTCCTCGGTACTCGTACAAGGTACCATTGCAGGACGTGAAGAGATGGATCACTTGTACAGTGCGGACAGCGTGGGCAACGGAATGGTCCAGTGCCAGACTTCCGTTTATCAGAAAAATTAAAGGTGACATCGGAAAGTGGATGGACCTTGCAAACCTGCGAGATCAGAGGATTTTTTCCAGACTCCGGACAGGACACCTCCTAATCTCACGGGATTTCAGCGGAGGACCCCTCAGGAAGACCTGTGAATTCTGCCATATTCCATCGATGGTGGAGCACGTGTTATGCGTATGTCCACAAAAAGCACCTTCGTTGCCTCCACGGTATGCCTGCCAGCGTACGGGACTCGCTAGCAGACGTGCCCTTTTTTGAAGTTCTGAAATTCTCTTTAAACTATTTTTTTCTCAATAACCAATTCATAAAGAAGCATTTCCACATCATTTGACGAATCGATCAGACTCGACTTTTTCCTACTTCCATGAAATTTTGCCGAATTGTTCGCTTTGTGCAATTATTCAAACTTGTGCAGAACTTCTGCCATCTCGACTATCGTCACTTTTTTTTTTAATTGCGATTTCGTTATACATATTTCAAAAGTCTTTGCTCAAAAATGTATCATCTAATCATGGAAACATGACGATTGAAAAAATGTTGTGGGAAAATAGATGTCCGTTTGAAAAGAAATTAATCGAGTTATTTTGAAAAGAAGGCGAGAGTCAAAATGATCGAACTCCAGTAAAAATTTCAATGATTTTCCAAAGTTAAAAATTATGCAAACCTTCATGGGGATCGAAGAAGGACGTATTTGATTGTTTTCTGCTATTCGACCTGAAAATGCTCAAATACTGAATAGGTCCAAAGAGAATATTAAATCAATAGCAAGTTTTGCTATTCGAATTGGCGAACAGAACATCCAAAACTGCTATTAGTTTGATTGATATAAGAGGTAAAATGACAAAAATTATTTAAAAATCTATGGGACCATAACTGAGCAATAACACATTCGATGAGTAGCAAAAATCATAGCAAATTGATATCATATTTAGAAATTATATCTCATAAAGCTATCGGTATGTTGCTTTAATTAATCAAATATGCTTCCAGATCAAAATTAGCTCTTGAATCCATGATACCAAAATATCAGAACAATAGAAAATTACGCGTTGATAACAGAATAAGCTATTACTAATACAATAATAAAATATTGATATTATAATTTGATATTATTTTACTCTGGTTTTGGTATTGTCCTCTCCCCGTGATAGGCTGGCCATAGCCGATAAACTTTCATTATATTTATAATTTCTCTTAACCTCAAGCAAAACAATCTCCTACGGCATTTCCCTGCGTGTGGCTTACTCCAATCTGATGAATTTATTGAATATCTTCCCGAGAAGAAAAGCAAGCCCAGATGATGAGGAAGAACACAAACGACACACTTGAAAAATTGTTACCTCTTTCACCAAGTTAGCTTCAAATGCACCCGAGCAAACAACAAAAAAAAAACCCCGTAATATCATCTCAATGAAGGAAAAGCAAGTCCAAACGACTGACAACAATCCACAGAGAACCAGATTGCAATCTTTTTCCTAGTTTTTTTTTTCTCGAAGTTATCAAAGCAATACCATTTTATCCTCAAACATAAGCACTTTGCTGCAAGCGCGCTAAATTAAATCAAATATCTCCAGCACACAACACTTTCGTTCATCTTTGATAAGCAGCAAACTAATCAAAACACTCTTGCAACGCAGCCAGAGCAAATAGAACATACGGCAAATGTGAGAATCTCCTCCATTTCCCTTCCGAGACTAAACGAAAAACGAACGACCAACAAAATAGCCAAGCAATTAAGAGATAGGGGAGCGCTGACGAGCAGCGAATACAGAAGCCTCACGCCTTAGGGCGATACGATGAAAAGTGCAAGCATGCAAACAAGCAAATTCCGATTAGCAAAGGAATTAAAAGAGAAAACAAATAAGCAATACGGCACGTGGTGGTGAACAATAGCGTTACTTTTAGTTGATTTGATGAATTTATCGAATTTCTCATCTCTCATCGTGTCAGACAAATGCAGCGCACTTCCATAAGCATTCATTCCATCGACCACCACCACCACCACCACCCACTCACAGTCTCACTTCACGTAGTCAAATCATTCACCCCCCCTGTCTTGCCCCCTTCGACCGTGCCCCGTGTACGTACGGTGCTGAGGGGGGTGAGGTTTGAAATTTTCCGGAGTTTCGCCTTCCAACAAATGCCTCCACGACACTGACCGTGTGGATCTCGTTCAAAACGGAACCGAAACTTGTGAACCTCCCACTAGGACGGGGGATCGAAGAGTTGTTCGATTCCTGATTTTGGGCGAGACGGAAATTGCGGAAAATTTCCTCCCCACCCCACGCCACATTCCCATCCATCATCCACAAATCGCATCGCTCACCCAAGCAGTAGTTAGATCGTTGTCTGGAAGAAAGCAAACAAAACAGTATACGAACCGTAGGCTAATGAAAACGATCAATCCACTCATCAACCGCTCGAACTCAAACTACCTATAATCTATGATATCTCGTATCTTGGTGTAAATGTATTTTGTGTGTGCGTGTGCTTACTGAAACCTAGGTGTTTGTTTGAATCACAATTCTCGTTTTTGGTATTGTTTCGCTGTTGAACGCTCCGGACTGTCACTTCCTAAGCGATACTGATCTATTTTCTTCTCTATTCCCCTTCCATTCCCCCCCCCCCCCCAAAACAATAACATTTGAAATTCCAAATCCGAACACTAGAATACGCCACCGTCGGTTATATGGCGAAGCGGATACAGATGCGCAAGCAGCGCTTCATGGCAATCCAGAAGATTGCCGAGCAGAAGAAGAAACAGGCGGAGGACGCCAACCATCCACCTCCACCGCCACCGGCCAGCGATCACAGTCATGGCCATGGCCACGGGCACAGCCACGGCCACCAGCACACGCCGAAGCAGCAGATGGGCAGCCGTAGCGGTACTATGTCCAATGTGCCCCCCCATAATATCGCGGGATCACGAGGTTGTTCTATTGTAGGTCCACTGTTCCAAGAGGTCCGCTTTAAGGTGCACGACCCGAAGGCGCACTCGAAAGGCGGCACGCTGGAGAACACGATCAACGGGGGACGGGGCGGGGGTGGCCCACCGGGCGGCGGTGGGGGACCACCCGGCGGAGGCGGCGGCGGGCCGGACGAGGAATCGGGTGCACCGCAGCACCTGATACACCCGGGCAAGGTAGGTTCGGTTTGAATTGGGGTTAGCATTTTTCTGGGATTCTGTGCCAATGCACTCAAATCTGTTTGCGAGTAATTTTTTTTAGTTCGTATTTTTGATCAATAGATATTTTCACGTCCGGTTATATTGGTGCGAAACTCATTTTGACAGATCTAATTTCATACATTTTTTAAGTTAGCCAGTGGAAAATAATAAACAACTTTACACGGCCATGCATCGGCTAGTGTGCGTCCGGTAAACGTCACTAATATCTGTTTAGTGCAACTTTGTCAAAACACGCGCTTTTTATTTACGCTGAAATGGTTGATTAAAGGTACTAGGCATCTTCTGAGAAGTTTATCGGGATACAACACTCCTTCTTATGGTAAAAGAAAATTAAAGATTAATCCACCTAAAAGTGAGATACATTTTTTTAATATGATGAGATACAAAATAATTGTGTTTGGCAAAGCTGTAGAAAATATTACTGTAAACAACTTTGCTGAAGACTATAACTTTCAAGTTCTAATAACTGCTGAGATATAAAGAATTTTTTCGTGGAGCCATCGTAAAAATCAATTTTGTATCTGTAACTTTTTCTACAATATTTCTACGTGTTTGGCATGTTCTACAAAGATGTTAACAATATCAAATTACATATCTTTTAAGAACACTGCACATTGCTAATTGCTATCATTAATATTTGAAATGTTATTTACATTGTTTGGTTGAGAACTACCCAACTTCCAATACCAATAACTTCTAAACGGGCAAAAACAAGCAGGCCATTCTTTCGGCAACTGAAAGTACAAGAAAATGCAATGAAATGGTGAAGAAACCAGACCGCCTCCACGTGACCCTTAACCGAAATAGAACCAAACCATTCCCAAACGACCCTTGACTGAATCGCTTATGTACTTTAAATATTTTTCGATTTTGTCAATAATAGGCTTTGGATACTACGTATGCAACATGATCCTTGAAGCTGAGCGTGGAGTCGATCAGTATTCCCAGATCCCTGATAGTCGATTTACGTTTCAAATTTATGCCCGTCAGGGTGTAATCATGGTGAAGAAGCGAACGCTTGCGGCCAAAGGAAAGTACAGAGCATTTCGAGACATTCATTGACATGCGATTTATACGACACCACTTAGCGAAGACTTCCAATTGTTGCTGCAAGAAAATGGCATCACTAGGTTCTTTTATCACGAAGTAGAGTTTCAAGCCGTCTGCATACGATAGTTTAAGGCATTTTAGGAAGGTATTGACATCATTCATGTACAACAACCGGAGATGAACCAGCGAATCTCCTTAATAAAGACAACCCAACCATGTACAAGAGGAACAGAAATGGCCCAAGATAGCTACCTTCGTGAACGCCGGATGTCACGGGGAAGGATGAAGAAACATAGCCTCCAATCTTGACAGACATGCTTCGACCAGTCAGGTAGGAGTAGAGCCAAGTAAGCAGGCCATCGTGAACACTTATGGTGTCGTATTTAGCCAACGCAATGTCATGGTTCATTTTGTCAAATGCTGCGGAGAGGTCTACTTGATGGCCACGTTCTACTTCATGAATGATGAACGAAGTGAACGTAGCTAAAGTGGTCGTCGTGGAACGCTTAGGCATGAAGCCATGCTGATCCGTCGAGATACAGTGTGCACAACTTTGAACCAATTTTTCGAGTATAATCAACTCAAAAGTTTGGAGGTAGCACTTAACGAAGCTATTCCACGGCATGCTTGGCATACACAGTTTTGGTCACAAACTGCTCATTTGATAATAACTTTGCACACACTTGACAAAACAAACTTCTGTTTGGAGCAGTAGATAGAATAAAGTTTAAGCTCTCAATAAGTACGTACGAAAAAGTAAATTTTAATTCGAGCAATAAACAGTATTTGTTTTTGCGTTGTAAAAATCAAGTGAGAAATGCTCGCTGCACTTCTCGGACTTAAAGTCTAAAACTTCATTGGTGTTGATTCAAATGTTAAGATTTACCTACTCTTTGCATATCTGTAGTAAGCTATGATCCTAATCTATCATTTACTTTAAAGAAAAACAAATTTCAACAATTGAGTGAAAAGTTATTAACAAATGAGCAGTTGGTGTGTACAACTGTGCATGCCAACCAAGTTCCATGGTAGTTTGAAACAGTCTTTTTACAGCCTTTCTTGTGGATTTGGAACACGAAAGACTCTTTCCACCAAGCTGGGAAAACCCCAGACATCAAGGAGAGATTTAAAACGTTGAGGTGTCGCGAGAGCAGTCAGGCAGCGTTTGAGGACTAACGACGGTACGCCATCTGGGCCGGAACCCGTTGAAGTTTTTAGCTGCTTCCCGGATGAAATAACCATTTCGCTGGTGATAGAAAATGGATGGCTGGAGAAGGTTGAGGGACAGACGTTACTAGACGCAGCAATTACATCCTGAGTGCTGAGTCGTTCGTCGTTGAAAACACTGCTGAATTGTGTGCGAAACAAGTTGGCACTACCCACGATAGAGTCCACTTCCACTACGCCGTTCCTCATACTTGAGGGTAGTCCGCTTTCCTTTCTTTGGGCATTCACATGGCGCCAAAAGTTCTTAGGATTTGATTTCAGACGACGCTGAAGCTGGTCTTGCTGTGCATGGTACAGTTGGTTGTTAAAGCGCTTGTAATCCGTGTTTGCTTCAGAATAACATGCTTTCATGGAATCTGTTCGGTATTTGCTGTGCTTACGAAGAGCAGCCCTTTTAAATTTTTTCAATCGCTTAAGCTCTGAATTCGGCCAGGCAGGTTTAACTGGTTGGCGACTGATTCGCTTAGGTACGGATTGATCGATTGCGTATAAAAGAATGTTGGATATCGTCGGTGCCGCGAGATTAGAATCACAGTCACGCAGTGCCTCTTCCCAGTCGACATTTGAGAGAAAATCATTCATTTAGCTGAAGTTGGCTTCGCCAAAGCTATAGAGGACGCTCTCTACAGTGTCTTTGAAATTACGATGAACGTTGAGCTTTTTGCTCACCAGCAGAGGAGGATGATGTCTAAAGTTTTTAACAAGCGCAAAGGGGGCTGATATGATGGAACAATCAGTGCACATCTCCTCACTTACGAAACAGAGATCGAGCATGCGGTTGTTATGGTTTGGAATTCCATTCATCTGTACGAGCCTTGCAGTGCAATAGGAATCCAGCAAATTACATGATGCCTGACCAATCGAGGAACGGGATGCACAAGGAAAGGGAACTCTACGAGCATTGAAGTCTCCCAGGATGATTAAGTTGTCATTGGCGCCCATGTGCGACACAATCCAATCGAGTGACAGCAGGTGCTTTTCGATGAGTGTACCATCGTTTACACGATCTGGAGGAATGTACATCACGCAAATGTCACGAGAAGTTATTGATACCCACAATTGCTAAACGGACGAATTTTCAGTAGGTGATAGTAACCGTGAGTTGTAGCAGGAACGAACGGCTAAAATAACACCACCGCCAGTGTTTTTACTGCTGTTGGATGGCGACCGGTCTTGGCGGAAAACGGTGTATGTACGGTCGAACAACTGACATGATAATGTATTGCCATTGAGCCAAGTTTCGGTAAAAGCGTAGATATTGTAGCAGGCGTCACTGCATGCAAGCAGGTACTCTGCCAGCTCTGTTGATTCCACCCAGGTTTTGATAATATAGTAAGAAATCAGATGACACTTGCTTATCGTTTCTACGGACTGCCGCTTGAACCTGGCGAGACGATTGCTGTGTCGTACAGGTGATGGGGGGTTCAGGAGCTTCCTTAAAGTCAGCGGCGGTGCTTCTCATTATCCGGTGGCTTCCATTTGCGTGACTCATGCCTCATATAAACCGCAGCATGTTCCGTTTTTTTTTTCCGAAACCGGTTGACCGACTCCAAAAAAAAAAAAAATGTGCTATATGTGACCATAATACCTTTCATTTAGCGGCTGTTGATTGGTTTATGACATTCGGCCCTGCGGGCTCTCAAGCATAAAAATGATACTTTATATAATAGGGCCAACCATGATGCATATTTAGGTTCAACCATGATTCAAATTAATTGCTGAATAAAAACGTTCAATAAATTCCTATTCTGAGAATATTATTCATTCTTAAGTATTATTAGAAACTAGAAAGGTAGACTTTTTCACCAAACACAAATTTTTCATGTCCATATGTTACCTATTCCCATCTTCATCATGACCATTTTTTTCAGAACAATTTTGGGGACGATTGGTTGTAACCCGGCTTTCCGCATTGCGTTTGAAATTTGTATGGAAATTAGTATTAGTATCTTTATTACTACACGCAAACCAAAAATCTATTACAATGAATGTTAGTTCCAGTTCCTATCATCCTCTGTTCATGAACATCGCAACGAATGTTAGGAATTGACCATGCAGGCGATGTAATGGTTTTTTGTCTTTTTTTATTTCGTGTTCCATCTACGCTTTCGACTATACCAGTAACCTTGTAGAACGACGCACATTGTAGAACATTGTAGAACGACGCACACACTTGTCTTGAATCTCTCCAGGACAAAAAGCATACGAAGTCGAGCATTTTTATTTCGTGTTCCATCTACGCTTTCGACTATACCAGTAAGCTTGTAGAACAACGACGCACATTGTACAACATTGTAGAATGACGCACACACTTGTCTCGAATCTCTCCAGCAGAAAAAGCATACGAAGTCGAGCATGCGAGAAAATGAGCGCTTCATGTTTGCTTTTAGGCTAAGCATATTCAGAAGCATGGAGAGAGCAGTGGAGAAAGCATAGGTCTGATAGTCGCAACGTCCGTGGTTCGAGTCCAGCCGGAACCTTTTTTTTCTATTTTTTTCGACATAATTAATTTCACTCACTAATACACTCCACATTTTTCGGTCTCCAATTTTCTTACATCGGACCGCAGCTAGGTATATCGCATCCTCGGTTCATGCGGTCTCCACTTACATCCTCTGATGATGAATCCCACATAATTGTAAGCGAATCTTACATCCACCGGTTGGGTGTAGGGACCA